CACCATCATCATTTTCTTTCTTCTTCGCGACCTTTATAAAACCCCAATTATGTTCCCTTCTACTTATAACCCCTTTGCTACCTACTAATTATTAACCAGATCATCATTGTATAGCTAGCTAGTAGTAGCATGTCAATCATGAACATAAAATATAATAAACAATCATCACAACTCTACTTTCCATTTCAACATTCAAGAAATCGGGTTGCAATAGGCATTCAAGAAAAACGATCAATTATTCAACCAAAGGAGTTCAACCAAAGGAGGTATGCTCTAAGTCCAACCAATTAACCCTTCTAATTATATTTTATATACATGAAAGTATATGGCGACCCTTTTCAGTAAAAAACAAAGAAGAAATATATTCACTCATCGAGAGTGGGAAAATTTACCATCCAGCAGTCGTAATTTCGAAAAAATTAAGAAAAGAATGGGGAAAAGAGTATAACTCGGCCAGTCAACCGCAAACAATAACATATCGCTGAGAAAGTGAGACCAGTTGCCAACTTCAGATCAAGGAGGAAGAGGGAGCAGTCGACAATTCTCGGCTTGGTTCACCTCATCTTCACAATTATCATATTAACTTTTTTCGTCAACAGGCAAAAATATGTTACAACTGCTCAAAATTTTGTCATCTTATCGTTGTCTCGTGTAATTTCTGCCTCCTATTCTCATACAAAGAAAAAAAATCGTATGCATTACCGTTTCCTTCTCTATAAATTATGAGAATACAAATATTAGAAATCTCAAAAAATTTAGCAACTAATAAGAGGGCTTTGTTTATTTTTATGGTGGTTGACATACTTTCTTGATTTCTTATTTTCAATGTTGGATTTTATTTCTAGAGAGACAATCAAAATGGGGAAAGGGATAGAAACAAATTAAAAGTTTGCATTAATAATTAATATGTTTTCATTTAATCGAAATGAATAAGAAGTTTTTTAAAAAATAACAATTATTGCTCTGTCAAGTTTATATTCAAACATTTTGCTATATAATTTATACTTGTTTTATTTGATAGATATATACATAAGAAAGAAGTGAGTGTTTGATAGCAAAAAAACATATAGTCATATCGTTCATTTCTCAAAGTCGATTGATTGTCAAACGTTTATTTTCTCTTAGATCATCGTTTATATTTTGTATTGAAAAATATTAATATTTATGTTTGTGCTTTTTTTTTTCTTCATCAAAATGTAACTTATTATTAAGTTTTAGTAAAAATGAATAGAAAATTTACTTAATCAGATTTAATAAGCTTGGGTTAAACAAATACAATATATGTCACTCTCTGTTTCCATCTTTATAGTTTGTTTAATCGATTTTTTTTTATTACTTAGGTGTGTGTTTTTTGTTTCAATGTTTCCTAAAAAAATAACTTATTTTAATTTTAGTAAAAATGAGTAGAATTATTAAAAGAAGAGAGAGACAACTTCATAAATAGATCAATAAATAGTTTTTTGTTTGAAAAAAAATTGTCCACCTTGGCAACTTGTGCATTCACCAAGTGCTTATTTGGCAAGAAGTTAGTTTTGAATAGCCATAATATTTAGTATAGATAGATAGATAGATAGATAGATAGATAGATAGATAGATAGATAGATATCAATTAAAATTTTAACTAGATATTTTAAATAATTATGAAATCCTTTTCTTTCAAACTAAAAAACTAAGGACCTTTAATTACACCATTTTCAACACCTATTACAATCAAGGACTATGGATAAAAGTTAAGATAAACTTCATTTTCAACACCTATTACAATCAAGGACTATGGGAGCATCCAGGGAGTGAGTCTGAATCCCTTTTGTACAAGACTCACTCATTTTCTGTTTGTAGATGACACGATCCTGTTTGGGAAAGCCTCTATGTCAGAAGCAATCACTATAAAAAAATGATCGAGGACAATGGGAGCATGACGAGACAAATGATCAAAAATGATAAATCAGCTATCACCTTTAGATCAAATGTTCCAGGGAACCTCAAGAGTCCGTTGGCGGATTTCATGTGTATTCCACGTTCTGAGGGAATGGGAAAATATTTGGGTGTCCCAACTGAATGGGGGAGATAAAAAAGAAGTCTTTTCAGATCTTATTGCTAGCATGGAAAAGTTGGGTCAATTTTGGAAAAGTTTGGCTCTTTCTCTCAAGTGGGCAAAAATACTCTTCTGAAGGCTGTGTACCAGAGCTACCCTACCTACTTGATGTCTTGTTTTCTCATCCCTAAGGGGACAACATATATCATGGATTCTAGATTGATACCCTTCTTATGGGGAGGAAATATGGACAAAGGCACAATTAACTTGAGAAAGGGAAGCGCTCTTACGACAACAAAACAGGAAGGAGGGATGGGTTTTAGGAACTTTCACCAATTCAATCTGGCCCTGCTTGCTAAACAAGGAAGGAAAATCCTTAATGGGGAGAATGAAATTTGGGTTAGTCTTCTTAAAGGCCTTCATTTCCCTCACTTTGAGTTCTTGGATGGAGGTAAAGGCAGGAAACCCTATTTGATTTGGTCAAGCATCTACGAAGCTAAGAAAATCTTAAAACTTGGGGCGAGGAAAAACATGGGCAATGGGAGGAGCATCATTCTTGATAATAACCCTTGGATCCAAGATTTACCAAGCTTCAGACTCCAGAGTAACCAAAGAGATCAGCTGCGAGCGTTCGATTGGGTGATGAATGATGGAAACGAATGGATCTTGGATCTTATTGATCGTTCTTGCCCTACGAATGGATCTTAATGACGGAAACGAATGGATTTGGTCAAAGCAATCACGAGGATCCCTATTGGGTTGAGTGATACGGAGGACTCATGGGTGTAGTACCCGGAGAATTCAGGGACCTATTCTATGAAATCTGCCTACGACATCTTTAGAGCATATGAAAGAACTAGGAACAGTTCAGAAGACCCTAATCACCCGGAATGTTCTACCAAAGCTTGAAAGTGGCTTTGGAGCTTATCCCTCCCACCAAAAATCATCAATTTAATTTGGAGCCTGGAGGATCATCAAAAACGCAATGACGACAAAGAGAAATATTTGGTTTCGGAAAGTAATTAGCTCACCTTCCTGCACTCTGTGTGATGGTGAAGTCGAGGATATGTGGCACTGCTTCTTTGGATGTCCCCATGCTTTACGCATATGGCATGAGGGGTTTGCCGATCTTCCTCTTCCTCCAAGCACCCTCCCGATCCTCGTGTGGTTCTTCAGTCTTCATGAAGTAATCCCTTTAGCTCTTTGGTAGCAGTGGTGGCTCATCTGTGGGCTCTTTGGAATTCTTGAAACGAATGGGTGTTCAAGAATGTCCGTGCACAGCTTCGATAAACCTCTGCTAAGGCTTTTGGTTACTTTAACGATTGGACTGCTCGTGTGGTGACGTTGACTGCTTCTCCTCCTTGCCAGCATGTTCCACCTCGTTCTATCCTTGATCCACCGCCTACTTATTTCCAGCAGGAGATATAATGTGATGGAGCTTTTGTTTCGAAATCACAGGTGGCGGCATATGATGTTGTTGTTCGTAATCGCCATGGACACGTGATTGAAGAAAAGGTCAGGACTCAGTTTTGTTCATCGGCGATTGTGGCACAACCAAATGCCCTATTGTTTGCACTGGATATGGCACAAGACTCTGTTCGCCCAACGATTATCTTCTCTGATTGTCAAATCATCATCAACATTCTTCTCAACCCAAGCAGTTCTTGGCCATGGCAAGTGAAAGCTTGGATCCATTGTAAGAAGCACACTTTTTCTCAGAACGATCATATTAAGGTGGCTTTTCATAAAAGGAAGAACAACAAATGTGCTTATTGGGTTCCAAAAGAAATTATGAGAGGTTCTCTTCCTTATGAGTGGATCCATGTTCTTGACATTGTCTCCCCTCTCCTGTAATTGGCTTTGCTTGTACTACACTTATTCGATGGATAAAATCATACCATTTGTTAAAACAAAAGCACCTATTACAATATACTTCATTAGTTTCTTGATAAATGCTATTATAAAATCGTCTCGCTGTAGACCACACATTTGAGATGATAAAATGGTTTAAAATTAAAAACATGATAATTATGGTATACTTCACATTATAAGAAGATGTATTAAAAATACTTTGGTGATTTTGTTTTTGACTTTTTATGAGTATTTTTATATGTTTTCTTTCCTACATATAAAATTATTTATTTAACTTATTTCAATTACCGATAATGCATCAAACAAAGTATGTAGATCGTAAATATTTTAATAAAAATCTCAAAATCATTCACGAAGATAAATTTTCTAAATAAAATTTATAAAATCAAAATATAAAGTAAGAATTTGACCTATAAAATGCAATACAAATTAATTTATTCTAATTCAATCCAATAGAGTTTAATGGCATGTTTATTGTTACCCACGACAGAGAACAGGCCAATTATCTAGTATATACCTTAATAAGTGAATCAATTTTCATAGACAAACTCACACTAAATAGGAAAATAAATTAAACTGACCATGGAGAAAAGAGGCATGACTAAAATAACTCATTAGCTAAGCTGAACCAAATCTGTCCATCGCACCCAAGTCAAGCTACACTCAAATATGTTGAGTCTTGTTGAATCGGCAGAACCATATACAGTAGTCTTCACGCTATTTATGAATTATGGTACTCAAAACAAAAATAATAATTATATAACTCCACTAAACACATTATCGATAAGGTTATTCCTTTAATCGATGTGTAGGAGCATACTCTGGATCGTAATCAAGGGTATTACTTACTAGCATAGTCCTTGAAAATACTTTATATGTCTCCACAAAAATGGGAATCACAGCATAACACCAAACAGAAAAGAGAAGTTGTTAGATAACAGAAGTGATTGTTGTGTTGAAAAGATTGATTTATATTCATGTATACAAAGAGTTCACAACATTGTGTGATGGCTACGGTAGTGATTACTTTGATGAGAAACGGATATAGATCATGATTAGGGATGGGATCTAGCTGTAGCCTATAAGGGATGGATGAAGATCATAACATTTATTATTCTAATAGAACTTCATAAGTAATTCAGAAAGCACATAAGAAGTGTTGAAAGCTTCGAGCGCGAGAAGCCTGTTTCCTTTCTGTGCTGAACTTTGTTCCTGAAAAACCCTAATCTGCCTTTTTGGAAAAATCAAGTGAGAAGGAGGAGAAATGAATTTGATCGAAACCTGTTCGATAGGCAGTAGAATGAATGTTTGGAGTTGTTCTAAAGTGTGGAACTTTTAAATTGGGCTCGGTTCGACAGGCCCACTCTTGTTACCTGGCCTGTCCACTTACTAAACAGACTAAAAACGCTGCGCTTTGACTTTACTTCACTCCCAGCTTCTTCTTCCTTTCCTCCGAGCTGATCCCCTGTGTAGGTTATATACTGAATCCTGCAAAACAGAGTTTGACCCGAGCAAAAACAGAGTACAACCACAAAAGCATATACTGATGTGCAGAATTGAAGAACACAGACTCAATTTTTTACGTGGTTTCCAGTATTGGGCGAATGAATAACCCAATACTGACTATTCCACGGTTGGAAGATCACGATTTGTGATTCCCAACGATTCACTAGGTATGATGCTTCTTGGTTCGATGATGACTTTACACTCACGAGATTAACCAGTCCAATCCAGGGTGGTTATTCTATCTTCTACGAACTAACTCACACTACCCAAGCTATCCAGCTTCCGTGTTGTCCAACACTCTTCCTCTCTAACACTGTTTCACTCCAGAATCAATGTCAGCGCTATCTCTTCACTGTCAAACACACTTGCAATTTCCTTAGCCTCTCCCGTGTGTATTGATCTCTGGTGAAGTACTTTGTGTTAGTCCTTGATCGAGCTTATTTGTACTTCATACAGCTAGCCGTTGTTCACCAAGAAGGTAGGTCTTCTTCTTTGAATTCCTTCCTCAAATGCTTCGTATAATAAAGCCTTCCAATTTATTCAAATCTGCTTTCCTTACGTAGATGATTCTTTCCACATGTAGCTTCTCCACGATATCTTGATTTTGAGGTAAGTGGCTGGCTTACTTGCCAACAATCTCCCCCTAAGCCAGTCAATGATCCTCCCAGCTGCATGTGGAGTTCCTGCACACACTTCAACAAACTGTTGCGTGCAGACTGTTCTAAAAAAAAACTTAAGTAGTTCAACCTTGATAATAACTTGAAAGAGCACCATTTTATTAAACTCCTGACTATGTCACTCAAGAACAATCAGACCCAAATTTAAAACTAAAATGACATGAGCTCAGACAGAGCATTATTCAAGATTGATACTGCAACCCCTAAGACACTTAACCTACCCAACGTAATCCCTACAGGGATCAGTTTCTTGACTCCCCCTAAACTCGACTCCCCCTAAACTTAGTGTTCCCTTTAAAAGGTGAACCTAGGAGATGGCACATAATCTGATATGGCCTCTTCATCCTCCACCATCAGATTTCTATTGCTGCTACTTGCTTCCTCCTGCCTGAACATAGCTTGAACCGCTTCCAAAGGATCCACCATTGGTCGCTTTCCATTGTCTCTGGCTATGGTAACCATATCTGCCATTTCTGGTTCTTCCTCAGCTTCATCCCCACCGAGCTCAGACAGACGAAGTCCATCCTAATCAGAGGGAACTCCATCAGCTGCTTCTCCCCCTGGAGCATTGACCAGCGGGCGGCGACGACCCACCGATGCATCTACCTTTCGTAGGACAAACTGAGCACGAAGAGAGCTCAGCATATCAACACGAGCTACCTTAAAGCGGAGATCTAATCCTAAAGCCAGTAGAATCTGAGTGATTTGGGGAGCAAAAGGGAGCTCGGCAGTATAGTTATCAGCATGATAGTTTAGCATGTGATCAAACATTAGATGTGGGTAACTGATGACCCGATTCTCCTTGGCACTAGCAAGAATCCATAGATCGGATGGATAGATAGTATTGAGCCCAAAAGATCTAGGCAGAAAGCATCGGGTGATGTAGAAATGCAAGACTTTGAGGTCATCTGGAAGTCTACCAGCATGAAATTCCGAGGGGTAGTAACGACCTGTGTCACGCGTATACAGACGCAGAGCATCTCCCTCATTAAATTCAACAGAGTGAAAGTCCAGCTCATTCATGACTTCTGCTCCAGCGATGGGTATGCCAAGCAAAAGTGACAACAGTTCCACATTGATAGTGATCAAGTAATTGTACACTATCGTAGTGAAGCATGGGGGAGAAACATGGAGACAAGGCTTCATGTTAGAGTAGAACATCCGAACTGCCTCAGGACGAAACCCATAGTTTCGATTTGGAAGAATATCCCCCCATCCGACAGAGTTGAGCAAGCGAGGAATATCCATTCCATATCTGTTGAACCGGGAAGGATAAAGAGTGATGGAAGGATGCAAAGAGCGATCCTGAAAATGCTGAAGATAGCGAGCATATCCTGCTGCATCCTCAAACCCTTTGCCATTGAAAATGGCAGCTTGAGCCAGACGCAGGGATGCTACGTGATTGTTTGAGGCAGCCATGAGGTCTTTGAGAAGGTGAGATGGTAATTTGTGTGAGGTGAGATGAGAATCTTGACCTTGACTCCCTTTTAAGGTGAAGAAGGAATTTTATTTAAGGAATGTGATATAAGAGTAAGGAATGTAAGGAGGCTTGCTTCGAAAGAAAAAAGATTTCAAGAATTATTACGATTAGAAAAGGTAGCTCAAAACATATTTTAGGAAGGATCTGGAGATTCACCAGACCTTTGGAAACTTAAGTAGAATAGGTAACTCAAATCAATTAGAAGATTCCTTGAACAACGGTGACATGTTGGCTATGTCATTTAGGGTGAATAACCCTAGCTCTCGACGTATATGAATGAAGGATTCCGAGCCCAAAGGCTTTGTGAAAATATCAGCCCACTGACATGAGGTTGGAACAAATTCTAATCCTATTTGACCTTCCTCTACCAATTCACGAATAAAGTGATAACGAATGTCAATGTGTTTAGTTCGTGAATGTTGTACTGGATTTTTTGTCATATTTATTGAGCTTGTGTTATCACATAGCACATGAACTGATCTAGGACACAAACCATAATCCTGAAGTTGATGTTTCATCCAGAGAATCTGAGTACAGCAGCAACCTGCTGCAATGTACTCAGCTTCTGCTGTTGACAAGGCAACTGCGTTTTGATTCTTACTAAACCAGGATACCAAGGAAGTGCCCAGGAACTGACATGTTCCTGAGGTACTTTTTCGATCTAAGACACATCCTGCATAATCAGCATCCGAATATCCTAAGAGTTCTAGGCTAGAGTCATGTGAGTACCATAGACCAAGTTCAGGACATCCACATAGATATCTGAAAATTCTTTTGACAACACTTAAATGACTCTGTTTAGGTGAACTCTGGAACCGAGCACACACACAGACACTATACATGATGTCTGGACGACTGGCAGTCAGGTACAACAGGGACCCTATCATTCCTCTGAACATTTTTTTATTTACTGGTATTCCTGTATCATCCTTGGTTAATTTAGTATTAGCTGCCATGGGGGTTATAGCTGGTTTTAAATTACCAAAATCAAAACGTTTTAACATGTTGTGAAGATATTTGGTTTGACAAATAAATGTTCCAGTATGAGTTTGTTTTATCTGAAGTCCTAAAAAGAAGTTTAATTCTCCCATTAGACTCATCTCAAAGGCACTCTTCACTTTTATTTCAAAATCTTTGCAGAGTTTTTCACTTGTAGACCCAAAGATGATGTCATCCACATACACTTGTACTAGCATAATATGTTCCTTTTCTTGTTTAATGAACAGGGTCTTGTCTACCTTGCCTCTTCTAAATCTATTTTCTATAAGAAATGAGCTGAGTTTGTCATACCATGCTCTGGGAGCCTGTTTTAACCCATATAAAGCTTTCTTTAGTTTATATACATGATTAGGATAATTGTGGTTTTCAAAACCTGGAGGTTGAGATACATATACTTCTTCTTTTAAATCTCCATTTAAAAAGGCGCTTTTTACATCCATTTGGAACAATTTAAATCCTTTAGAACTGGCAAAGGCACAAAGCATATGAATTGCTTCTAACCTTGCAACAGGGGCAAAGGTTTCCTCAAAGTCTATTCCCTCTTCCTGACAGTAACCTTGTGCTACCAATCGAGATTTGTTTCTAATTATTGTTCCTATCTCGTCTGATTTGTTTTTATAAATCCATTTGGTTCCAATTATTGTTCGATTTTCAGGTTTAGGTACCAGTTCCCACACATTTGCACGTTCAAACTGGTTCATTTCCTCAAACATAGAAGCCGTCCAGAATTCATCCTGAAGAGCTTCTTCTACATTTTTAGGTTCAACTAAAGACACAAAGGCTGCTAGGGATGCTAAAGTTCTGGAGCGAGTTGTCATACCTTGGTCCAATCCTCCAATAATTTGACTGGGAGGATGTCGCCTGACTATGTGTGGAGGTGGTTGTACCAAATTTCCTTGTGATTCATCTTCCATATTAATCTCGGCTTCTTTTTTTTTTTTTTTTTTGGTTGAAATCTCTGCTTCTTTTGACTTGTCCAAGACGGAAACTTCTTTCTCATTCGAGGAAGATTCATCTAAGTTCTTGGCTTGAGATGCTTCTGTTGATCCTAGTTTATTCTGCATGATACTTGTTCCAAGCCCAAAATCATCATCGTCTAGTATATCTGCACACTCAATAACACCCTCATCAAATATCACGTTGGCGGACTCCTCAACCTTGAGGGTCCGCTTGTTAAAAATCCTGTATGCTTTACTTGAATTCGAGTATCCTAGGAATACTGACTTATCAGATCTTGCATCGAACTTCCCTAGGTTATCCTTGGTGTTCAAGGCATAGCATTTACACCCAAAAGGGTGAAAGTATCCTAGGTTAGGCTTTCTTCCTCTCCATATTTCATAGGGGGTTTCGTTTAAAGTTGTCCTGATTAGAGCTCGATTAGTTATATAACATGCTGTATTAACTGCCTCGGCCCAAAAATACTTAGGCAGGTTGTAGTCATGTAGCATAGTGCGTGCAATATTAATTAAAGTTCTATTCTTTCTTTCCACTACTCCATTTTGTTGAGGAGTTCTAGGAGCAGAGAAGTTATGTGAGATTCCTGAGTCATTACAAAGTTGCTCAAACATATCAGAACAGAATTCCCCTCCATGATCACTTCTAATACTGGCAATTTTACTTAACTTCTCATTTTCAACCTTTTTAATAAAAGTTTTGAAGTTTTCCAATGCCTCATCTTTCTTAGCCAAGAATAGTACCCATGTGAATCTTGAGTAATCGTCAACAATAACAAATGCATATGATTTTCCACCATAACTGATCACGTTTGCAGGACCAAATAAGTCAAGGTGCAGTAGTTCTAAAATTCTGGATGTGGATATGACTGGTTTACTTTTAAAACTTGATTTGGTTTGTTTTCCTTGAGCACAAGCATCACAGAAGAAGTTCTTCTTCTCATTGATTCTTGGTAAACCTTTAACTAGATTCATCCTGACCAGTTTGGAGAGGACAGCAACATTGACATGGCCTAACCTTCTATGCCAATCCTGCTGTTCATTAGATTCCATGCTAACTAAGCATAATTCATTAAAACTACTCTTGTCATTTAGATCAATGGTGTAAATTTTTCCACTCCTCTTCCCAGTGAATAAGATTTGTTTGCTTTTAACATTTTCCACATAGCAACAGGTTGACTCAAAAATTACACGATTATCCTTTCCACACATCTGACTTATGGAGATTAGATTATGTTTTAACCCTTCCACTAGCATTACATTTCTTATACAGGGACTAGTCCCCACTTGACCTTTACCCACAATTTCAGCAGAGTTGTTATCACCGAAGTAAACTTTTCCAAAATTTCCTAGCTTAAGAGTTGAGAAGAGATGTTTATTACCTGTCATATGGTGTGAGCACCCACTGTCCATGATCCATTTGGTTACCTCCGTGCTCACTTGAAGGCAACTCTGCAAGCACAAAATTCATTTTGTTTTGCAAACCCAGATCTTCTTGGGCGCATTTGTGATTTCTGGATAATGCTTAACATGACTGCTTTCAGGTGCAACACTGGTCTTTCTTTCAATTTTGGATTTGACTACCCAAACTTTTTTGGTTGAATAATGAGGCCAAGATGCATTCGTGTTCTTTACAGCTTCTGACCTTAGTCTCTTTTTACAATTCTTGATTCTATGACCATATGAGTGGCAGTAGTAGCATTCTACCAAATTTTGATTGCTATCAATCCCTTTTTGAGTTTTAAGATATTTTCTGCTTTCTTGTGAATTCCTTTTAACCTTTGCACGTTCATGTTGAAGCTCTTTCTTTTCTTCCTTTAATTGTAATAAACTGTTATTGAGTGAAGTTTCTCTAAGTTTACTAAATTCTAGTTCTTTTTCTAATTCGGTTAACCTTTTGAGATTAACCTCGTTTTCTTTCTTTAGTTTACAATATTTGTTTTTAACATTTTCAAATTCTACTTGAATGTCATTAATGATTTCAAGTATCATATCATCTTCAGGGTTGCATAATTGTTCTAGTTTAGTAGATCTTACCTGGGACAAGGATACAGGTGATGCAGAGTCTTCATCCTCTTCCTCCATTTGGGCAACAGCCATGTATGACCTGTGAATGGTTACCTCATCATCGTCTTCGTCTTCATCCTCACTACAGCTCCAAGTGGCTGCTAAAGCTCTCTCTTTTTTCAACTGAGGACACTCAGCCTTAATGTGCCCCATTCTGCCACACTTGAAACATCCTGCTGAGCTTACCCCCTTTGGTGATGAACTCGACTCACTTCGATTCCTTGTGAAGGTTTTCCCTTGTGCACCTCTTCCCATACCATCATTCTTTTCAAATTCCTTTGACTTATTTCCATACCCACCTTGCTTCTTTTCTCTTCTGATTCTAATTAATCTGCTTATCTGCTTGCTTAACAGGGCAAGCTCTTCATCTTCCATTTCATCGAGTTCTTCTGGTTCATCAACAGGACTAATGGCTTTGAATGCCACTCCTCTTTTCCCCTTCTCACTGACCTCCTTCTCATGCCCTGTCTTAACCAATTTCTCTTCATGTGTAGTCAGTGATCCAATCAATTCATCTATAGCTAATGTCTCAAGATTCTTTGCTTCTTCTATAGCGGTTACTTTAGGAGTCCACTTCTCAGGCAAACTCCACAAGATTTTTCTCACCAAATCACCACTTTCATATGATTTTCCTAAATTCTCCAGGCTGTTTACGATATTGGTGAATCTTTCATACATCTGCCTGATCGACTCTCCCTCTTCCATCTTGAATAATTCAAACTGGTGTTTCAACGAATTTATGCGAGAGGTTTTAAGCTGGGAAGTACCTTCATAAGTAACTTGCAGCTTGTCCCATATTTCTTTGGCTGTCTTGCAACCAGCCACTTTGTGGTACTCCTCTGGTCCCAGCGCGCAATACATCAAATTAGTCGCCTTACAGTTTTGCTGGAACTTCTCAAAATCTTCTTCTGACCATTTCTCTTGATCATCCTTGAGTTCATGAGGACCCTTGATCACTCTGGCCCATAATTTTGGATCTGTAGATCCGACAAACAACTCCATGCGATTTTTCCAATACCCGTAATTTACGCCTTCGAATCTCGGTGGTCGATTCTGCGAGAATCCATCGGCGAGGTACAGCGGTGCATTGTTGGTTGACCCGAACGCCATCCTTGGATCTACCAGAGGTTGTTAAGCCCTTTCTGACTGGTAACGGGGCTCTGATACCACCTGTTGAAAGCTTCGAGCGCGAGAAGCCTGTTTCCTTTCTGTGCTGAACTTTGTTCCTGAAAAACCCTAATCTGCCTTTTTGGAAAAATCAAGTGAGAAGGAGGAGAAATGAATTTGATCGAAACCTGTTCGATAGGCAGTAGAATGAATGTTTGGAGTTGTTCTAAAGTGTGGAACTTTTGTATTGGGTTTGGTTCGATAGGCCCACTCTTGTTACCTGGCCTGTCCACTTACTAAACAGACTAAAAACGCTGCGCTTTGACTTTACTTCACTCCCAGCTTCTTCTTCCTTTCCTCCGAGCTGATCCCCTGTGTAGGTTATATACTGAATCCTGCAAAACAGAGTTTGACCCGAGCAAAAACAGAGTACAACCACAAAAGCATATACTGATGTGCAGAATTGAAGAACACAGACTCAATTTTTTACGTGGTTTCCAGTATTGGGCGAATGAATAACCCAATACTGACTATTCCACGGTTGGAAGATCACGATTTGTGATTCCCAACGATTCACTAGGTATGATGCTTCTTGGTTCGATGATGACTTTACACTCACGAGATTAACCAGTCCAATCCAGGGTGGTTATTCTATCTTCTACGAACTAACTCACACTACCCAAGCTATCCAGCTTCCGTGTTGTCCAACACTCTTCCTCTCTAACACTGTTTCACTCCAGAATCAATGTCAGCGCTATCTCTTCACTGTCAAACACACTTGCAATTTCCTTAGCCTCTCCCGTGTGTATTGATCTCTGGTGAAGTACTTTGTGTTAGTCCTTGATCGAGCTTATTTGTACTTCATACAGCTAGCCGTTGTTCACCAAGAAGGTAGGTCTTCTTCTTTGAATTCCTTCCTCAAATGCTTCGTATAATAAAGCCTTCCAATTTATTCAAATCTGCTTTCCTTACGTAGATGATTCTTTCCACATGTAGCTTCTCCACGATTTCTTGATTTTGAGGTAAGTGGCTGGCTTACTTGCCAACAAGAAGCTCGGCTGACGATTGGTAGTTCGGCGACAACATCACCACCTTCTACTCTCCCAATCAATAAAAGAAAACAAACATAGAAGCAGGTAGAAGTTTGACCTTGCAATGGATCTGCATCATGTTGACGCTGCTTCAACTCAACCTACCCACCACCTTGAGTAGCCTTTTTGGCACGCTAACCACGGGCGACCCTCGTCAACAAAGCCTATCAACTAAAACCCAACATTTGGGTCGGGAGAAGAAATCAATAGCATAATCTCATACCTGTGGTTCTCGCCGTTGTTCTTGAAGTTGCTGCCAGGCACAACTGATAGGAGGAAGAAAATGAAACTATAGAAGGACTTAGATAAAGTGTTCAAGCTGATAAAGCATGTTGAAAAGTGTTCAAGCTGATAAAGTATAATCA